TTTTTTTTTTTTTTTTTTTTTTTTTTTTTTTTTTTTTTTTTTTTTTTTTTAATGATTTTTTGGGTGTGTTTGGAGTTCCTTTTTATTGGAGATTTGATGATTTAGTAATGAGTTTTATTGCAATTAAATATCCACATTTGTTAAGGTTCAATTAAGTCTAACATTATCCTTTTTGAATAAAACATTTCAGATTTTTCCTAAAATTTTTAAAAGATTCGCTCGAGAAAGGATTTTACCTCTATAAAAAAATATTTTGTTCCCCATCTAATTGATCGAGATCTCGAGAAACCTCTTTTCCATCCAATGTGGGATCTCACAATTCGATGTTTTCACAATCTTAGAAAAAATGTTTTCTTTTCCCTTTTCAACCGAGGTAGGATCTCCCAATCCACTCATTTCGAGGCTCAGCATTCCCGTTGTATTCCCCTCTCCAACCGATGTAGGATCTCACAATCCACCCCTTTTGAGACCCAACATCTTCGCTGTATTCTCCTCTTCAACCGATGTAGGATCTCACAGTCCACCTTTTTCGAGGCTCAGCATCCTTGTGTTGTCCTCTGTAATCGAGGTAGGATCTCACAATTCACTTCTTTCGAGGTGCAGCATCCTCACAAGCACTCAATTCTCTCTCCAAACGACGGGGATCTCATAGGTAAAAAAACTTATTAGTTCGGGTAGGGCACAATGTGAAGCAAATAATAAAATATGGAAGTATTTATCCATTAAGCAAGTTATATTATCTCACCTCAATCCGCAAGCATTTTCCACACAAAACAAAGAAACCCACATGAGAGAAAGGAAAATAAAAGCTTTACTTACAATTATAAGATATCTATCAACAATCATCCTCACAGCATCCCAGGCTGCTTCTGATATTTTTCATCGTACAACAGACGATGCTTTTAACGTACTCAACCGAATCCACCGTGGGTTTTGCAGAGGGAGAGGCGTCGGTCACAATTTGGACGGCGGCGGTCAGCAGAGCGCCACCATGGGTATCCGAAGATTTGTGGTCCTTCTGGCGAGTGATGAGGAGGGACCTGGACTCAGCGCCGTCGGGGAGAATTGAAAAGCCCGATGGGAGGATTGTGAGGCTGCCGGAATCACAGCCTGTCATCACCGACTGCATGCCGGAAACGTCTACTCCGGAGTAGACTACCATGGATTCCGAGGAGTTTGTGGAGGCGTCTTGGAGAATCCACATGCTGCTGCTCTCTTTTGATCCTCTTGTCTGAAACAATTCTGTGCAGGTTAGCTTAGATTCTGATTATAATGAGACTTTTATTGTGTTAAAAAAAAAAAAAAATACTAAATTTGATTACTTGAATACTAACTGAGTTGCCTCGATCCTGCCCTTTAGCCAAATTTGCAATTGACTCAACTTTATCTCCACCAAACATGGCGTCCCACTGCAACGATATTCGTCCTTTATTCTCCTCTCTTACTGATGTGAGATTTCACAGTAATGTATGGACTAAAATCAAGTAATTTAGAAGCTTAAACTAATGAGTTATTTTACCTCGTTCCTTCGAGCTTCGTCTCGCAAGAAATGGAAGAGAGTGTGGGGAGGAACAGGCAGCCATAGAGAAAAAACTGCACATAAAATAACACCAATGGGTTCACCAGGGTCACTTAGATTTTTCCTGGAACAAACCCTAATGTCTTCCCCTGTTTTGCCCACAACTTTGGTCCATGTTTGGTAACTTGAAGCTGCCACTGCTTGGGAGAAGCTTGAACTCATTCTCTCTGCCAACTTCAAAATGCTTTTTCTTCCCGCCAGAGTTGCAACTCCTGATATCATTTGAGCTTCAATCATTCATGGTTTGAGACAGAAATTTTTGAATTTTTTTTTTTTTTTTTTTTTGTTAGGAACTACCACTCTCCATGATGATGGTATGATATTATTTCATTTGAGAGTAATCTCTAGTAGTTTTGCTTTTAGTTTCTCCGAAAAGTCTTGTAACAATGAAGATAGTATTCTCTAGTTATAAATTCATGATCGTGAGACTATTCCACCCAATAATCCTCTACCCGTTTTGTCTCATAATCAATTATGGAAGGAAGAATTAAAGGGCTAACCAGTTGAGTCTTTGATGGGGATGTTGGTGGCCATAAAGAAAGCAAGGCGTTCGCATTGGAGTTGAAGCGTTGCCATCCAATGTCTTGCTCCAAAGGCAGTGCCATTGTTGACTATGGTGCGGTACAAGTTATGAACTTTGGTTTTTTCACATTCCAAATGCTCCACCATCGTTACCTGTAAAAAGCACCATTATTTGAAGTTTAAGATTCTCAATACTCTAACATAGATCAAGACATATACCTTGCAATGGCCATTAGATTCATCTTTAATGATGCAACCAGAAGGACGTTTTCTATACTTCATCAACGAAGCATCGATATTAGTATCGTCAACGTTGTCGATCGAAACATCGACAATCGCCCATAGTTCAGCGTCGAGCTGCTTGCAATGACGTATAAAATAGATTTCTCTTGTGGGCACCAATGGTGTAAGCAGCTGCACCTCCACAAACATCTACAATAATGGCTATTTAATTGAAACAGCCAATTAACTCATATTGGTGACTTTGTTAAGAAAAATTTCTGATTTCATGAGGGGCTTACCAATTGCACTGCGCCATTCCAATTGGCAACTTCTCCATTACAAATAACATCAATTGTAGCTGCCTTTGAGATCATGGAAGGAAACATCTCCTTCCATTGATTCTACCAAATTAAACGATCGAACTATATGTTAATTATCGATGTATCTGTAAATTTATTATTTTATTCATGTTCTTATAGTCTTATTACCTCGTCCATGAAGCTTTGGATCAACCTCGAGGGCTCCATGAAGACGACGGTCGTGTCTCGAGAGGCTTCGATATGTCTTTTGAGCCAACAAGCGTTCGAATTCTTGACATGGAACGTTTTCAAGTACTCGTCGTAGTTTAAAATCTCTCGTCCTGTCTCGATACTACGGATCCAAAGTGGCTCGTTTGTGACAGCCATTGTTTTGAGCTCTTCGAGAGCTTGATGAACTCTCTCCATGATCCTCGACTTTTCGAGGCCGAAAATTCCAGTGTAAAAATCTAAGCAGTTTCGGTTTGCCTCTTGGTCGTTCCCGGACGAATATGAAGGTGAGATCGATGATTGCGAGTGTTTTCCGAGTGCTGCTCGTAATTTTTCGACCTGGGAATTAGAAGATTAGACAAGAAGAAGAAACCAAATTATTAGAGGGAGACATTGATATTACCTCGGCTTTGAGCTTAGCATTCTTAATACGCAATTGCTCCGTAGTTGTGAAGGCGGTATGGTCTTCAGCAGCGTTGGCAGTGCCACAATTTGGACAGCCAACTTTTTTCTTGGTAAGTTCTCTCATGGCTTTATTTTCTTCTCGAAGTTTCTCCATTTCAGCTTTTAACAATGTGTTTTCATGGCGCTCTTGAATAGCCTAATCAAACCATCCATTAAAACCCAAACCAGCCAGAACAACAAATGTTCATATCAACTTTCAACAAAACTCCCATGATTGTATCTTCACTTATATAAGGAAAATGGTTATGGCATTTTCTATTCCTGCAATTAACCAACGTGGGATTTCCTCCTAACAATCCTCCTCTCGAACAAAGTACACCATAGAGTTTTCCCTAAGGCTTATAGAGTCCTCAAACAAAGTACACCTCTTAAGTATAAGTACACTTTTTTACTACACCTTCAAAGATTCTGTTGACATAACTAAGTTAAGAGTATGACTCTATACTATGTTAAGGATCACGAATCTACTTAATGATATGATATTGTTCATTTTGAGTATAAGTTCTTATGATTTTACTTTGGATTTTTCAAGAAGGTAGGTATCATGGAGACGTATTCCTTGATTAGAAATCTATGATCCTTCTCTAAATGAACTAACGTGAAATTCCTTCCCAACAATTCTTAATAAAAACGAGATTAATAGAAGATTTTGCACATACTTTGATTTGGGTTCGACGATTTTGGAACCAAAACTTGACCTGCCTTGGTGAAAGCCCTAATCTCTTGCTAAGCTGCTGCCTTTGCTTCTCATCTGGGTGAGGCGACTCTTTAAATAGCCTACAAAATTATGAACCAAAAAAGAAAAAAAAAAATTCGATAACCCAAGTCCTAAATTATAAAAACAAAAACAAAACGTTGATGATGGATTACGCCTCCATTTCTCTGATCTGCTCGGTGGTATGCCGATGATATTTCTTCCTTCTCTTTACAAGACATCCACCATCCCCCTCTTCATTTTCCTCATGCACTCCTCCGCCCTCGAAATCGTCGTCCGATCTCGATCTCACCGGTCCCAAATTCTCGCTACTAACCTCCGCCGCATCATCCCGCCGCACTTCTCCGCTGCCATCGTCAACCTCCTCCATCTCAACATCGCCCTTCTCCGCCATCTCACCCCGGCGAAAAATCCCCGCCTCGAAAAAAATTAAAACAAAAGCAAACCCATGAAAGCGAGAATTTTGATAGGCCGAGAATCAAACCCGAAAATAGAGGAGAATATACTTACGAGAGTAAGAGAAAGAGCGGGAGAGGAGAAGAAATCTTTGGTGAAAGCGAGTCGATTATTATTGTTGGACATGTCGGCGAGAATGGAAGGTGCAAAAAGAAGGGATTGATTTAAAGAGAAGAAATTAAGATGCAGACAAGTGAAGAAGAAGAAGAGTAGAAGATTTAAAGGACATGACAACAAAATGGGTGAGCTCAGTGGGGTTTTGCTTTCTTTCTAGAGAGAGACTGGTAGAGGTTGACTGTTAGATATTTGCTGTAACAGAGAAGACGACTCAACTAACTTTTAACTCGTTTCAATCAAACATCCAACGGTATTTCCTGGTTTTTTTTTCCCACTAACGGCTTGTTAGTTCAAGCTACCTCCCAATTTTTATTTTCCTTTTTATTATCAACAAATATTATAATTAATTAATTAATAATATGAGAAGTTACCGAGAGTCAAACCAAAAGGTCAACACCAAACCCCATGACGTGGCAATATATTTTCAGGTGTTCGGATTTGTGCATCATTTTATGTCTCTCTATAATTAATGGGGTTGCGTCCAACTTTCTGTTTTCTCTCGTCCTTTCTTAATTTCCTCAAAACTTTGTTCCTTCAAACAATTATTTAAAGTTTTTAAAAACCAATAATTAAATTTATTCGATTTAATATTATGAAACTGTAATATGTAATTTCAAACTTGAGTTTAAAATGAACAAATTTAATATTTGAAGTTGGATCTCATCTACATTTCAACCAATATTACCCAAAATTCTGTTTTTTAGTTCCAATAATTATTGGGTTCAAGGTAGTTGAGAATGGTAGATAATGGGAATAAAAAATTTAAAAAAAAGGACAATTTTTGTAAGAAATCCGAATGAAGAAACAAAAGAAGAAGTAATGTTTTTCAATTTTTTTTTATTTTTCTTTTTATCTCTGTGTCTCTCTCTTCTACTTTATGTCTCTTTTTATTTGGTTTTAAAGCTGTAATGTCTAATCATCTCCTCAGCTAATGAGAGGAAAGACAAAATGAGAGAAAGACAAGGCAATGGAAACACAGAAAATTCAACACACAGCTTTTTGAAATCAGAAAATTCAGACTACAAACACTAAAGGGACAAAATAAGAAGGAAAAGACATGGGTTTGATCATAAATGAGGAGCTTTGATGTGGGTTAATGTTGTTATTTGATCATAAATGAGGAGCTTTGATGTGGGTTAATGTTGTTATTTGATCATAAATGAGGAGCTTTGATGTGGGTTAATGTTGTTATTTTTGCCTCACTTGTTGTAGTGATAATGAAGCTAATTTTGCTGTTTTTAATCATTTTCTAACCATCTTCGTATGATGCTTACTTAGACTTTTTTTTTTCTTTCCGCTTAAGAATGGAAAGAATCATTAATGACACAATATATGAGATCCCACGTTAGTTGAAGAGGGAAAAAGTGTCCTAAAGAAAACGAGTACCAACGAAGATGCTCAACCTTTGAAGGGGGTGGATTGTGAGATCTCACATCAATTGGAGAGGAGAACAAACTATTATTTATAAGGGTGTGAAAATCTCTACTTCTTTCGTGCACGTATTTTAAAAAAATTTGAGAGAAAGTTCTAAAAGAAAAGTAGTATTTTATGGCGGGAATGTGGGTAAGCGAATACTTTTATTTCATTGAAGTGTCGCGGTAGGAGTGGGCAATAAGATGGTTTACATGTGAGCGGAAGTACAGGCGAAGAATGGCAGCTCCGACAAACATGCACAGGTGTTAGCCCGAGAGACGAGTTCTCACGAGCTTTCAGAAGATCACCACATGATTCAGGAACCACTTCCTATGTCCTCCTCCTCACCGCTTTCAATCTTTTTGCACACCAACCGATCCATGCTCAATTTCCGGTTTGCTTCTTTTGCTTTCAACCTCCGGTGCACGCTACCACTCGCTCGCCTTCCCCGATTTCCAATGCCGAAATTAGTTCGTCTTCAATCGGAGCCCTCATCGCCGTTGCTCGAACCACTCTAGCCCTGTTCCGGCGCATTTTAGTCACTCTCTCGGCCCTCTCGCTTTCTTCTTCCGCGATTTTAGAGGTACGCGTCGTTAATTCTTGCCTCTCTCTGATTTAAACTCTAGATTATTTGCATTTTGCTCGTGTCCTTCGATGTGTGTTAAATTGTGCGGATGGTTTTATTTTTTGTACAGAAATTTATGTTTTAGGTAATTTGTATAGAATTTATAATGGAGAAGTATGTTAATCTTTGTATATTGAATTCATTGATCATTTGTACTGAGAGCTCTTTCTCTTAAATGTTAATCTCTGTGTATTGAATTTATTGATCATCTGTACTGCTGTAATAGACTCACGATTATAACAATTAAAGGTTCAATACGATAACTCTAATAATTTATAGTTGAAACGATAAATTGTTTTGTGTCGATCGGACAGATTATTACGGAATGTCAACGTGAATGTCTTCTTGTTCGTGTTTTTTAATCAATCTTGGGTCCGTATAGAAATATATTAACCTGCTGCGGCAAAGAAATTAAGAAGTATTTAGAAAAATAAATAATCGATAGTTATAAGGATACTCTGCATTCATGAGGTGTTTATTTTCTCTGCTAATTGTAACTGTTTTTTTCTTTGGACATTTTTTTATATCCTTTGGGATATTAAGGTCGACATGATGCCATCCTGTTGATACTCAGGATTTTTCATCGTTTCTGTTTTTGTTGCTTTGGTCTTCCTTAGCATTCCATTCCCAGGTGCTACTAGTCACCGAGTTCCTAATAGGCAGTTGTTCTACAGCTGGCCTTGAGGATAGATTGTTTATAATAATTAGAATTACGTCATGAGGGGGCGCCATGTTGTGGAACTGTCCTCGACACACAAACGTACAGCACCGAGGGACCATTTAAATGCTTCCAGTAAACAAGAGAGTCCAGGTGTGGTAGCAACGGTTCTATCAAGATTCTCATGATTTTTTTGTTGTCTGGAATTAGAATACTAACTTCTTAACATCTCAACATCTCTTAGAGCGTTATACTGTTTACCCTTCATGGAAACGCTCCTTGCGGCATGTAGTTGTAGCGACTCTTGCTTCATTTTTACTTGGATACCATCTTGGGTATGTCCTCAATCATCACTATTCCTTATATCATTTTTAATGTATCCTTATCGCTTGAATTTTTCAAATTGATTTAGTCAATAGTTATTTATCTTTGATGTTGCAGTGTAATTAATGAAACATTAGAGAGTATTTCTTTAGACCTTGCCTTTAGTGGGAGCACATTGGCCGAAGGTGATTACATAACCATTTATTTTAGTATTTTTATTTGTGTCTTTGGTTTTAAAAAAAAGTAATCTAGTTTTTTCCTTAAATAAAGGTCTCGTAGTAAGTACATCCTTAGGTGGCGCCTTTCTTGGATCTCTATTCAGCGGCGTGATTGGAGATGGACTAGGGCGTCGTAGAGCATTGCAGCTATGTGCATTACCAATGATAATTGGTGCATCCATGAGGTAAGCATTACGTGAAGCATCTTCCTGAGTAATTCACTCCTGGTACTAGATAGGCCCTCATGGGTAATTGATATTTGGCACCGATTCAAATGCTGTTTGTCATATTGATTCTTGTACACTGTTTTCTAATTTTGCAATTAATACATTTCTAACCTCATAAATATGTACCACCTCCCTCAGGTCATTTCAATAATATCTCCCAATATCAGGTTTTAAACATGCTTATCATATTACTGTCAATCTGTTAATTCAGTTTCGGCAGTAATTTTCTTCTTTTGCACAAATATGATTGCAGTGCAACCACAACAAATCTCTGGGGAATGCTTCTTGGGAGGTTATTTGTTGGGATGGGGATGGGTCTTGGCCCAACTATTGCATCACTTTATGTTTCTGAGGTACATAATATCTTGACAAGTTTGTACAGCTAGCCACACTCTGGAATTAAAATTAGTATCCCACCTTCAGTTTGCCTTGTTTGTAGTTATTCCATATTTATTTTGAGTAGGTATCACCAGCTTATGTAAGAGGAACTTTTGGGAGTCTTACTCAGATTTCCTTATGTCTCGGTCTTCTGGGATCCCTATTTATGGGACTGAAAGCCAAGGGAATAGTGGATTGGTAAGTAATTTCCGAGGGAATGCATGGTTGAAGACTACATCAAAATTTTCGTTTCATGGGCAGTTCATCAATTTGTCTATGAACAACAGTAGATAACACAGCTTTTCTGACTAGAAGGTTTTCTCAGGTGGCGGACTTGTTTTTGGGTATCTGTCATTCCTGCTGCTTTACTTGCCCTTTTGATGGAATTTTCTGCAGAAAGTCCTCATTGGCTTTTCAAGGTCATAATCTCATATGTAATTTCAACTGCCTCTTGGGACATTATCAACTCGAGTTTGAGAATTTACTTTCTTCATGTGCTAGATTGTAAATTGGTTGAGTTTAATCAAGTTTAGGGAATTACAGGTTCTTTCTCTTTCCTTCAAGCATGCACATATCTCACTAATTCCACATAGGTATACCATGTCATATCTTGTGTTTTAGTCATATACATATTGGTGCCAGGAATTCCAACTTAGGAAACCTTTTTTTATTTCTCAGTTTTCTTCCTTCTTGTTTATATTGGTAAATATCCCAAGGCTTTGATATCTTCCTATTCTACTTCATTTCATTGTTCATTCCACTGGCATGCTTCAATCAGTCGATCAGTTCCATGTGACACCACATGATACAATAATTACACCATTTACTGCCTCCGTCGTAATTTTTCATGGTGCTCAAAAGAATATAATTTCAGAATATAAGCAGTAATTTTAAGGGTAAATTCAAGTTATATAATCAAATTCAAATAATAATCTGTTTCTACAATCCTGCGTTGGTCCCTCATGAGTTCTATTGAATGAGTAACAAAATTGATGGTCAAGCATCTCAGACTCACATCTATATATTTGTTTCATGCTCTCCTGTTTGTGGACCATTTCTTGATTATGTTCTGAAGCGATCTCTAACCATCTTTTTTGGATTTGCTTCAGAGTGGAAGAACTGCTGAAGCTGAGGCTGAATTTGAGAAGCTTTTGGGAGGAGTACATGTTAAATGTGCATATGCAGAATTGTCGAAGTCTGATAGAGTAGATGACGCTGATGCAGTGACATTATCGGATTTACTCCAGGGCCGCTATTTCAAAGGTAAATGTACAAACAACGTAATCACTGATCAGTTAATAGTTTCTCACATATTTCTAACTCCTAATGAAACCTTTTTCTTTCTCTAAAGGTAAATGTACAAACAATGTAATCACTGATCAGTTAATAGTTTCTCACATACTTCTAACTCCTAATGAAACCTTTTTCTTTCTCTAAATTATTACATTTGCATGTCAATTTTGCAGTGGTTTTCATCGGTTCAATCCTTTTTGCTTTACAGCAGCTCTCTGGCATTAATGCTGTTTACTATTTCTCTTCTACTGTCTTCAAAAGTTTTGGCATACCTTCAGATCGTGCCAATATTGGCATAGGAGTCGCAAACCTTTTAGGTATGTCGGCTCTGACTGGATCATCTCCAGTTCAGCTATGAGATTATTCTGGTATATGCCTTTATTTCTTTTCATCCTTCAGGGACAATTGTTGCAATGCTACTGATGGATAAACTTGGAAGAAGGGTGCTGCTTCTTGGCAGTTTTTCAGGCATGGTAATTGTTCTAGTGCTTTTCGGGGGAAAAAAAATACTCTTCGATTTAGATAGATGTCTTGGCAGAAACTGAGTCTAAATTTCAAAACGCACTGTATCTTTTCCGCATTATTTCTTTTGTATCGTTATGAAATGTTTCTATAGGACTCTTTTTGGGTGTCAAGGATTCAAAACAGATGTATGGTTATGCTCTTTATAGCATTATTTGGTCCCGACTAAAGTTGTAAATTACACCTGTAACATGTATGAGACTGGTATAACTAAATTTGGTCAACCTAAAAATCCTATACAAATTTCTTGTACGTGAGACCTTGATTAGGTTTTACTTTCTACTAGCGTTTTGTATTTTTCTGACCTTACTGTGTTTGGTTCTAGGCAGTGTCCATGGGCCTCCAAGTGGTAGGAGCAAGATCATTTCCATCCAGCCCTGGAGCATTCTATCTTTCTGCCGGTGGCATGTTACTGTGAGTAATTATCATCTTAATAGTCAAATAAACTTGGAATGCTTAGCTAGACGAATGAATGTCGGATGTTTCAAAGAGAAGATTATTACCAGATGTTTTGACAAACACAAGGTGGATAATGTAGGTTTGTCCTGACATATTCTCTTGGTGCGGGTCCTGTTCCTAGTCTCCTACTATCAGAAATATTTCCTGGACAGATTCGAGCAAAAGCAATGGCATTTTGCATGTCGGTTCATTGGGTACTATGTTTCTCAGTTCAACCGATATGACTTTGTTTGGAAGTTTCATTTCTTTATTTATCTGCTGTGCTTCTTTTGATCTTTGCTTCCATGTCTGATTTTCGCTTTACAATCCCTAGTTGGAACAATAATTGAAAGTGGAAAAAAACTGGACCTCGATTAAAAAAAAAGCTGTCATATGTTCACTATTTATTAGATTGACATCCTCTTATGAGATATCAAAATTTATGGTAACTGCTAAACATCTTTACTAGTTTACTTTTTGCCCACAGAAACAGAATTGTTGTATTTGTTCTTGTAATAAAACTTAATTGGATGTTTGTTCTGTTTTGGCTTGTGCTTCCTTCACTGCTTATGAGCATCTCTTCTGTCTTCCCCTCGCATGCGAACACAAAAGAGTTGTGGCAATTAAGGGAAAAGAAAACTTGTAGATGTCTCACATTCTTGCTGGTTGGGACATGAACAGGTGATAAATTTTTTTGTTGGTTTACTCTTCCTGCCGTTACTGGAGCAATTAGGAGTCCAGATACTATATACAGTTTTCGGTACATTTTGCTTCATAGCAGTGATTTTTGTGAAGAGGAATGTATTGGAAACAAAAGGAAAATCACTTCAGGAAATAGAAATGGCACTTCTTCCAGTAGTGTAGAGGTATTTGATACATGGATCAAATCATCCTCTTCTTTGTTTCTCTCTGAAAATGGTAAGAGACAATAGTTTTACAATTATTTACACACCTAATATTCTACCCTCATGGTTTTCTGATTTTTCTCCTTCCGAAACATTGTACAACTATATCAATTTCTGTTGATCTTCCTAACCTTCTTTTCAGGGAGGAAACAGATTCATTCAATATTCCTATCATCATCTTGCATATGTCCTTGTTCAAATCGAGTGATTACAAGATCATACAACGGCATCAAAACTTACAGCTTCTTAACTTTCGCCAAATCGCTTTCTAGAATGGTATCGATTTTCTTGAGGGCTGTCTTGTCTTTTTGACCTCAATTCAGGTCATTGATTATTTGTCTATTTTCACTTTTTTTTTTTCTTTCTTTGCCTTGATATAATGAAAAGAAAGTGCACAAATGCCATGGATCACAGTTCAAAGTTTTCTATTCATTGATTATTTATGTAACTTGACCTCTCTGAGCTTCAAAGCCGATGATGCCTATGAGTACTCGCAATGCTGCAGGTTTATATAACGTATGGCTCTTCTTTTTTTTCTTTTCTTTTGTGTTCAACAATTAAGAAGGATTCCAATATCTGTCCTCTTAGTCACTATCTCTTAGTCCAGTCAGATTAACCTTTTGATTTAATTTAAGCGAAATGGTGTTGCACATATTTTACCCTCAAATTTGAAATTACAGGGTAAGATGATGACAAAATATATTGTTTATTTCTTTCTGGGGACAGTTAGTATGTCTGTATGAAGATTTACTGATTGGGTTGTTTTGAAGGGACGTGTATTGGGTGGTTGCAGTGTAGTGTAGATTATTTTTTTTTGTCACTACCTATTGTTGTGATGTTGTTGAGCCATCATTGCCAGAGATGTAGCCCCGTAAAAATAATGTGGTCAGGATTGTGATTGAGATTGTGCTCTTCTTCAGATTCATTTTTTGGAATCAGTTTGAATGGTTTCGATTTGAAGATTAAAATATTCCAGTTTTTTCTTTTTTCTTTATTTTGGGTTGAAATGTCAAAATCAAAATGATTTAGAAGGAATTAAATGTCCATATTGTGAACCTATCAACTTTTTAGGATTATTGATTAAATATCAACCTTTCAGGAAAAAAAGAAAAAATTTATGAAAGTGTAATTGTTCTATTAGTGAGAAGTTTTTACATTTTTATAAGAAATGTTTCATTTTTTATTCCAACGTATGTGGTATCTCACAATCTACTTTGTAAGGGTCAGCGTTTTTGCTGGTAAGTAGCCTAGCTCTAATAACATTTGTAATAATTCAAAGCTATCTCTAGTAAATATCGCCTATTTTTGTCCGTTATTTAAAAAAGAATAATTATTGTGGACTGTAAAGAAAGAAAATAATTCAATCATTACGTACAATGAGCAAAGGAAATGGAGACTAAAATTAAATTGGTTCTGCTACTACAATTTTATCACAGGAATTGGGAAGATAATGAAGAAGAATTTAAAGGACGTTTATTGAAAAGAAGGGGAAAAAAGTTAGCATTAATTCCTAATAATAAATATAGAGAAAATGATAGCAGGAATTAGCATAGTTGTTTGATTTGTATGGGTGCAGATAGCGAGGGACTTAGAAGCTGCCATTGTAAGCTTGAGCCCAATAATCAGCTCCGTTTACGTCACTTTGTACATGTTGTGTACAAGATACAGGTACCAAACAAAGCCCTCTACTCCTCAACGCATTTGCTTCTTCATCCTTTTCCTGTTCATCAATAATATACTCCAGATAACTTTTATATTCGTGTCTGATAAATTTATGAACTTTCAAACTTTTATATCTAATACATTCTCGATAGTTCAACCTTTTTTAAAATATTAATGAATTTGATGGGTGAAAATTTGAAAATTGGGTCTCTTTTGATTTTGGGTCAAAGAGATGAGTTTTAAAACAGTTGAATTGGTTTAGGTCAAACTATTGGACATCCTTTATACATAAAAGAAAAATCAACAAATTAACTATATTTCATATGCCTATAATCCTCTTTTTTCCCCTAATAAGCCTATAATCCTAAATATGATAATGAGAATGATGGGTTTGTAGGTGGTAATAAACTGATAAGCCTATAATCCTTTTGTTAATAACCCTATAATTCCTAAATATGATAATGAGAATGATGGGGGTTTGTAAATTGGTAATAAACTTACAGAAAGAGATTGTTGAACTAAAATAAAAAAAAGATTAGAGGTGACCTGGGTAGGAGGTAGTTTTCTTTTCAGGGTGCTGTCGTTGAAGAGCTGCAATGGCCAAGAAAGCAAAATTTAAAAAATAATAATAATAATAATAATAAAGTTGCAATTTTGAGCTAACCCTTTAATGATTCCAAAACAATTAGGAATTCACAAAGAATGCTTTTAGGTAACTTTTAAATAATGCTAAAGTTGTATGAAAAGCTGAGAACCTTGTTCTTTCATTTCTTTCCTTTATGAATAAAATACAGTTTTTATTTTTTTATTTTTATATATAATATTTTTAGATGCTTTCATTTGAAGCCCCTCTCTCTTTTTTCTTTACTTGATAGATCCAATAAAGCATAATACCTAAGCAGGGTCTTCAGGAAATTCAAATTTTCTTCCATTTTCAACTTCAAATTCTCTCAATTTTTCTCTCATTATTCAATATTCTCTTCATAACATAAGTTTTCATGTCTTCTCAATATACTTACAAAAAGACAGAATTTTGGTCAAAGTTTTCAACTTTTTTCAATTTTAGGGACTTTGGTAATTGGTAATTGAGAAATTTCAAGTGGGTTTTGGATAAAAGACACACTTACAAGTTGATCCGTCCTTGTGGGTTCTGATGAATTATTGCCTAAATATGGAGAGATGAGAGCCTGAAATATATATAAAAAATATATATATAAAAAAAAATTTTAAAAAAAAAGTGAAATAAAAATCAAAGCTTGGAAGAAGAAGAAGAAGATGAAGAAGCATTATTATATTCAGAAAAAATGGAGTAGAATAAAAAAGAATGAAGAAGTTAGGTATGTATAGAACTTGACCTCAATTTGATTGTGAAGGAATCTAACATACCCAATAGCCTCTGACAAGACAGAAGCAGTGTCAGTCTGCAAAACACACAAAAAAAGGAACAAAAAAAAACACCACAACATGGGGAGGTATTCTTTTAAGGTTATGAACAACAACAACAACAACAAAATACCAATAACAAACTGGAAATAAGGTTTTTTTGAAGTGAAGAAGAGAGTTCAGAAACCCCCCCCCCCCCCCCCCCCCCCCCCCCCCCCCCCCCCCCCCCCCCCCCCCCCCCCCCCCCCCCCCCCCCCCCCCCCCCCCCCCCCCCCCCCCCCCCCCCCCCCCCCCCCCCCCCCCCCCCCCC